CCCTTTCTCCTAATTCCGGAGGCTAAGATGTCTGAAATCAAGGTGTTGGCAGAAGGCTTTCTCCTGAGGCTTCTCTCCTGGGCTTGTAGATGGCTGCCTTTTTCTTCCTGTGTCCTTACAGGGTCCCCCCTCTGTGTGGGTCTGTGTTCAGATCTCCTCTCAGAAGGACATCAGTCATGGTGGATTAGTGCCCACCCTAATAACCTCATTTTCACTTAATTTCTTCTGTAAAAAGGTTGTGTCCAAATAAGGCCGCATTCGGAGGTATGGGGCTTAGGACTTCAACATATAAATTGGTGGGGGGACACCAATCAGCTCATAAGAGGGGCTACTGTGTTCAAGATGCTATGGACATTCTGGCACATGACATGGCTTGCGGTGAACACGTGCGTGTGTTTCTGTTGGGCATAACCCACAACCTTGGTGTATTGGGACGATGCTCTAACCAACCAAGCTACCCAGCCAGGGCTGCAACTACTTCTTTCTAGGAAAAATTGCACTATGTTTTATCCAGAAATCAACCGTTTGTGATAATCGTGCCCCACTGCAACCCCACTTCTGGTATCAAAGTCACATCAGAGAGTTTCACTAGAGCACCTTGTGCTGATCTGCTGTCCCAGCTGCTGCGTTGGCAAGCATGTGCGTGCACACACGCACACACGCACGCACGCACGCACGCACACACACACCCCTTTCTCAAAATCTCAAAGATAACAGAAGGCATTGACAATATTCCATTGGTGACTTTTCAAATTGTTTTATACGCAAACATATTCATTGTAAGTAGGTGAAAGCGTTTGACCATTTGTTTTCCAGTGTAGCTGCATGAATGCATTTTTACATGTTTTGCTTTATTACAAATTACTTTCATTTCTTCTTTATGTTAGTTTATTATATTGATTTTTTTAAATGTATGCAGGCAGGATGTACTATCTATGCATCTCATTTCAAGATAGTAAAAGTGGTGTTATGAAAATAGTTTCTGTCATAAAGGGCTTTTGGGAAACTGTGGGGTTGGGACCTGCTGGTCTAATGGGTTAGGGAGACTGTGAAGGCTCCACGAGAACTGGGCTACTTTAGTTGTTCAATATGTATTGAGAGCTACTGTGTGCATGGCCCTGTGCTGGACAGTGCTAGGGACACAGTGGTGACAGAGACAACCCCAGCCCTTCCCCTACAGGGCTCAGAGTCTGGGGAGATACAGACCTGTTCCTGGACAGTGAGGACCCTTAGTGGGCTGGGCTGGGCTGAAAGGATCTAGGGGGGGTAGGACAGCCCAGAGGGCGACCTGCCCGAGCCTGGGTCAGGGAGGGCTTCCTGGAAGAGGTGATATCTGAGCTGAGCCTGGAGGATGGTGGGACTTAACTAGAGGAAAAGGCTGGGAAGGGTGTTCCGAGCAGGAGGAACGGTCTATATCAAGGCCCAGACAAGAGGGGAAATGTGCTGTGTCCAAGGAACCAAATATTTGTTCAGTGTAGCTAGAGAAGAGTTTCTCACCTCAGCTCCATTGTGCCTGGGCAGCCTCTTTCTATCTGCAGTGATGACTTTACAGTGAAGGATAAGCTCCTGGCCCCTCACTTCCATGTTCCACAGCCTGGGAGGTGCCCTTGAAGTCTTGCACTTTTTTGTTTGTTTTCATCAAGAGGGCTTCCAACTTGTGTAAACTTCACGTCCTACATAACCTGGGTCCACCTCTGTTCATTTTTACTTTATAGTAAATTAACTTTGATCCAGCAATTTGTCTTTTTAGAAGTCATAAATAGTCTCCATTTATTGAGAACTTACACCATTTCAGGCCTTGTGCCAAGCACTTTATATGTATTAATTCATTGATCCATTGAATTCGGTACAACAAACCTAAGAGGGAAGTGTCACAATCTCTATTTTACAGATGAAAAAGCTTAAATCCAGAGAAGTTTCCTATATTTCCCAAGGTGACACAGTCAGTAAATGACAGAGCCAGGATTCAAACCCATGCCTCTGGCTTCAGAGTTGAGTCTTAATCATAATAGTATGAATTCTTTTTGAGCAAAGTTATAGGTCATGTGCCCATAAGACATGTGCTTCTAGAAGTTCAATGCAGCATTGGGGGCAATCTCCCCAAATTGGAATCTACTCAGACGTCCACGAGACCAAGTGGGGCAAATATGGACCATCTACAGGATGGAATATTACCCAGCAGTTTAAAAGGTTGTGAACCATCCCTTGTTAAGTTAAAGGTATAGAATTTTAGTGCAGTATATCTACTTTTTGTTTTATTAAAAAGGCAAGAAAATGCTAGTACTAAGGATTTACTCATTCAACAAATATTTTTTGTTGGAGGCACTGAGGACGCAGCATGGTATAAAACAGATGATGTAGTACGGAAGACAGACTGTTGACAAGGTAAATAAGAGATATGGTGGTTTAGAAGGTGAACAATAAATAGAGAAATAAAGTTGGAAAAGGAAAAGGGATGGGAGGTTTTGCAATTTTTAAATGTGCGGTTTCAGCGAACACCCCTCTGAGGAGGTGATATTTGGATAAAGAGCTGAAACAGTAGCTGTATAAAGGGCAAGGGACTACCAGGTACTTCCACTTTCCATGTTTTAAATCACAAAATAAAATTACTGGCAACTTCAGGGAATCTGGTCTGTGCACTTATAACTGTCATCACCTCCAGTAAGGGTATTACATAGCATTTATCATCGCTTAAAATAATTGGTTTATTATGTCTAAGTTTTGGTTAATGCATAATGCCCTGGACTCAGCCAAATCCAGCTGATCCTTTTCTGAGCTTCTTCCAGTTTCTGGAATACACCAGGCTCACTCACCACAGGGCCTTTGCGCAGACTGTGTGTGCTCTGCCTGGACAGCTTCCCCCTCTCACCCTCAGGCCTCTCCTCCTGCCCCTCTTACAAGACCTCTGTCACATTTCTGTTTCTGTTTTCGGTTATTTCACATTTACTTGTGCCTTCGCTCCTGAGGGTCGGGATGTACCTCGTTCATCACTCTGACGCCTCCTCATTCCCTGAAGCACAAGCTTGGCAGGTCAGGCTTCCAGGAGTCACTGACCAGTGCCTGGCAAGCACCTATTTCTTGGCACCAGGAAATAAAAGGAGCATGCAGAGGCCAGAGACAGGGGATGGTGTCTCCTTTCCTTAGAAGAAGGTAATCCAGGCAGAAGGAAGTTGAAGAAACTTGCAGAACACCCTTGCGGACCAGCTCGACCCACTCGCGTCCATCCGTGGGGGCGCGGCGCCTTTAAGGATCCCGGAAATGGGCCGCAGGACCGGAAGTGACCCTCTTTATTTCCCCTTTTCACGTGGTGCTGGCGGGAAGTGACGCGCGCGGCCCGGGAGCTGCGGACGCGGAGGCCGACGGAGCGGGAGTCGTGGACGCCGCGGGGTCTCCGGGACAGGTGACCGGGAGAGGGGGCCAGGAGCGCGCCCGGAGAGGGCGGAGCCTGGAGCCCCACGTGGGTAGAGCGAGCGCGGGCAGGGGAGCGAGCAGCCCGCGGAGGCGGGGTCAGAGTACTCTGCGGGGGGCGGGGACAGGACGCCCACATGGGCAGCTGAGAGGGGCGCTGGCGGGGCGGGACGTTAGCGAGTGGGCAGGGCCCCAGCGGGCCCGGAGCATAGACGGGCACCTGGGGTTGAGGCCGAAAAGTTGTGCCCGCGCTAGGGGGCGGGGCCAAAATGTTGCTCCGAGAGTTAGGGGGCGGGGCCGGGACGTTGTCTGAAAACGCTGGGGGCGGGGCCAGAAAGTTTTGCCTGATCTGGAAGTGGGTCCTGAACGTTGGGGGGTAAGTCAGGGGCGGATCCAGAAGCTGACGTAAAGGAGGGGCGGGGTCAAAAAGTTGCGGGGGTGTGTTAAGGGGAG